TATAGATATATTATCTATAATCTATTTGTGGTGGCCGAATTTTGCTGTTCAAAAGGCTTTTTAATGACTACTTTGACCGACGTGCGGTTTTCGCTTAAAGATTCTTTAAAATATTCTCCAGATCATGACGCCCTTCGTTTTTTCAGTTTTGAGACAGTTTTGCTGCAAAAAGCTTAATTTCCTTATTTCGCCGATCGTTTTCGTACGCCGACGCTTCTGTATCTGTAATTTTAGAAAACCCGGTGCGGAAGTGATATTTTGCGTGATGCATATCATTTCCAGCAAACATCAGATCAGAGAAAGAAAGAGAGAGAATGGAAGAGGGGGTAAAAAGGGGAGAGGAGAGAGAGAGTGAGAGAAAGAGAGAGAGAGAGAGAGAGAGAGAGAGAGAGAGAGAGAGAGAGAGAGAGAAAGGGAGAGAGAGAGGGGGGGAGCAGCGAAATAGACGGACAGACAGACAGAAAATTGATACAAACTGCTGCGCAAAGTATAAGTGGTATTGATTCACCCGTTAAAGAGATTATTAAAAATTTTGGAATTTGGAGGATTTTAAAAAACAAGAGAAAAAAAAATATTTTAAAAAAGAACAAAGGGCAAGCAACCTACATCCCAGGCGTGACGTAAGGCCTCTTCCTTAAGCGTGAGATCGTCGGTAAAGATTAGCGGCGTTATGAGAGGCCTCCAGCGACTCCACCTCCTCAGCACATTCTCGTGGACACTTGCCTTCCCCACCTGTCGCACCCACGTCGTGAACAGGACGAGGGAAGGGGGGACAACTCTGTCAGCAGGTGGCGCTGTTGACTCGTTGTTAGGGACGCTGCTACCGGTAAAGGAAGAGGATGCATTGATAGTGGTATTTCGTGTGTCAGCCGATGGTTTTATAGGTTGATTCTGAACGCCTGATCGATACATCGTCATCGTCTGCTCGTGTACGTCAGGTTGATGTATTGCTGCAGACGACACTGAAACTGTAACGGAAGCTGCTGTAGGGTGTTGCCTCAACGTTGAAGGTGCTGTAAACGTTTCAGTGTCTTCAGAAGTTGTCTGGAAGAATCTGCTTAAGAGCAGTAAATTGAGCATGGGGGAAGATAGAAGAGCGTTTTTGTGCTCATTTCTGTTCACGGCGTTCAAATTACCCAGGGGCTCCGTTTTCAACTGTTTTTGATCGTACGTTTCAGGTCTACTTTTGGCACTACTGTCGTCGTGAAGAACTGTGGAACCTTTTTCAACACCGCTGAGACCAACAGGGCGCTCTTTTCCTGTGGTGGAAGGATTGAGTACTTGGTGCTTGAAGGCAGAAGAATTCATTAGTTTTGAAGTGTCTGAGACCGAAGAGTTAGGAAAGGAAGAATTGAGATTTGGGGAGTCTGGAACTGGTGGATTTGTTGAAGAAATATAATTCGGGTGTGAAGAATGTGGAACCGAGGCATTCGTTGCAGAAGAATTCGGGGTTGGGGAGTGTGGAACCGCAGGACTCGTTACAGAAGACATTGAATATCTGGAGTCTGAAAGTGGAGGATTTGGGGAAGATGAATTCAGGAGTGGGTGGTCTGGAACCGGAAAATTCGAGAAAGAAGAATTCAGGAATGGGGGTTCTGGAACCGGAGGAACTGGAGCGGGGGGATTTGGTAAGAAAGAATTCGGGTGCGGAGAGTTATGAACTCGGGGAGTCGGGAAAAAAGATTCCGATTTCGTAGAAGTTTGGGTTGGTGGGTTTATGTTAAGAGCATCTGGATTTTGAGTATCGGTGGCTGAAACTTTGGGCATCGGAGAATCTGGACCGGAATGGCTCAGGACTGAGGAATCCGTATTTGGAGAGCCTGATATCTGAGAAGCTGGAACATTATTTCCGGAAGTTTGTTCGATTATTCGAGGTTTTGACTGAGAAGAAAGCCCGATGTGGTTACTCGATCCTTTTTGGGGTGAGAAATTGATTATTTCAGGAGCTGGTGAAGTATGTAAATCACTTTGGTTGCTGAACTGTCGTCGTTGGTCAGATAAATCCCCTGACTGCGTAACTTGTGTCGCTACACCGTTGTCCTTACTAATACGTGCTTGTTGGCGTGTGGAGTTATTCCTGTCTCTGTCAGCGTCGTCGTCACTGATGAAAGTGTAACTGCTCCGCTCTGAAACAGAAATATTGTCCCTGTTTTGGTGCACGATGGCATTTTGCTTCTGCGATCTCGTTCTCAAAACGTACTGGAGGTACCCAGACATTTGGGACGCGAGGAAAGAAGAGTTCCACTGGGACTTTTCTTGTTCAGGGTTGGGGGTTTCTCTGACCGTTGTGAACACAACAGTGAACCATCCAGCTGTGTGGCTGACTATCACAACTGCCAGGACTGCCAGTACACACCAGCACCGCAAGTCTATCTTATGTTGGAGGTGGAGGCACACTCTCTTCACGGAGGCCATCTTCTTGGCCAGGCGCTTGATGGCAAGTTCTACTGGAATTTGTTGTTGTTGTTGTAGTTGTTGTTGCTGTTTTTGTTGTTGTTGTTGTTGTAGTTGTTGTTGCTGTTTTTGTTGTTATTGTTTTTGTTGTTGTTTTTGCTGCTGTTTTTTGTTGTTGTTTTTATTGTTTTTGTTTTTGTTGTTATTGTTTTTGCTGCTGCTGTTGTTGCTGTTGTTGTTGTGGTTGTTGTTGTTGTGTTATGTTATTCCGTCTTTCAGCACAAACAACTTATTATGTCAGAGGCCTCACCAACGTGTTGTATTCTCTCTGTGATAGAGCTGGGCCAGTATCTGGGAGCACCTTTGGACGCAGGCAGAGAATCGAACCTTTTACCTCCGGATCACAGGGAGGGCATGGACTAACCACTTTTCCAAGCAGGGTCCTTCGGATTGTTTTTGTAGACCACAGGGGATAGAAATGAAATTCTGCATCCACTCACCAAGAGAGCATCCTCTACAAGTTAATTTACACCACAAGAATTTTTCCAGGGTTTGACTGCACAAAGAAACTCCTGTATACTTAATAATATTATCTTTATCCAAATTTCTCTGAGCAAAATTCCACAAAATAGAAGAACCTGATTTTGTTGAAATGGGCACCAGTTATCTGCAACACCGTTTCGAACAGGACAGAAAAATATTTTAACTTCACATGCAATTGAAATAAAAAATGAACTCGATAAAGTAGAACGAAGTCGTCACAATCATCCAAAATGTATTATTTCAGAAACACTTCGCGCGAATGAAAGCGGTTACCACTCTGGTTGTTATAAAAATGGATTATGCTTTATCACGACAAAACGCACAGACGTCTTTGCTGTCATTATCAGCCTTAGATTAGGAAAATCCAGCGTGTACAGTCACTTGTGATTGTTTACCCGTCTCAAGTGGAAGCATACAAGAAACTCTCCCAAAACAACATGTTCAAATCAACTCATCCTCACGGCGCCAAATAAACAGACACAATGTGTTCTTTCTCTCACAATAGGTAAAGTCCTCACTGACTGACTGCTCTCCGCCTTATATACCCGACGGTGGAAGGGGCGGTTCGTTAAATAGAGACACAGTCGTGCAGTGCCGTCCAAACTTTTAAATTTAATGCTCTATTCTGTAAGGCACTCATAAACAGAAATAAAAATGGTCCGCAACAAGCACTAACCAATTTTTTTTCTCAGTGCAAAGTCCTCGCTGGCACCTTAGCAGCCGTTACTGGGCCTGTAGCGCCGTAAAACATATAGGCTACTATGCCGTGCCAAAGTCCACGCGCTTTAACTAGGCTAAACATAATAAAATTAATATTATGTCGCTTAGCAGTGGTAGTCTGAATCGCTCCTTGAGTTACTACAAGGGATGACGACACTCGTAGCGAGTTTGGAGGTATATTAATATTAACCCTTTCACCACCAGCGTATTATTTCATACCTCATCCCCACTGGCTGGGTGGTTCATACCCGTACACTTAAATGTGCAAGGCGGGGTCAACAAATGCATTCGGCACTATGTTATGTGTAGACAGTGTTTTACAGCAGTTGCAACACAATAAGGTCATAAGTGCCTAAGATTAGAGGTGTTACAAAAGAGTAACAAATACAAAAAAGAAGGATAGATAAGGACAATGGATGTTTGATAGGACAAAAAATGAGCGGACCTCACCAGAACACCCTCCAGCAACCCACTGGCATTTTCTTGTAGACTATGCAAATGCTGTAGAGTGACTGGCCCTGATTCCAAGTACTTTTAGTTAAAGAGGCAGGCTGACTGGTGAGGCCTTGTGTCAACAACTTTAAGCAGTTTTATAATATTTTTTTAAATAAAAGACCAGAACCAGTCAACCGCTAAATCACATCAGATTTGATGACAAAGAAATCAGGACACAAAGACGAGCCAGGGACAAGTTTGCTCACATCCGCGATGATGCTTGGGATTTCTTCCACACCAGCCTAGCTAAGCACTAAGCACTGCGACCTTGGGCAGAACGTCGATGTGGGTGATGTACTTTCATCTAGTAGTCCAAGTCCAAGCAAACCAAACAAATTAATACGGAATTATGATCTTCTGGGCGTGTGAATCTGAAAGCAGCTACCCACCAGAGACTTCCCCTATATGGGCAAGAAGAAGAGAAGACCAAGCCCAGTCGCAGAGAACAACAAGACCGTTTGTTCCAATACTGTTTTAAAGATGACTCAAGACTTTAAGTGCAGTGGTAGAAACATCACTTGCTGGCATGGCGAAAAATAAGCCTTACTGAGGTGGGTACCGTCAGTTAGGAGGAATAAAACATTTCTGTCTGTGAACTTCGAGACAAAAAGAACTCGGCTCTCCCTGAGTCGGCATTTGTATTTCGGAAGAATGCTTCTCTGGTCTCTTATCAAAGCAAGAAAAAAAAATGTATGTCCTTCTCCTCAGCTTAATGCCCTCTCACCCTAAAAGATCTGGGTACAATGGACAGCCTGAAATGTCCTGAATTATAACAAAGCCAAAGGTGGTGTGGATGTAATGCCTTTTCCAGCGAACGCAAGACAAAAATGAAGGCCCCCTTGTTTGTGTGTGTGTGTGTGGGTGGGGGGGTGAGTGAGTGAGTGAGTGAGTGAGTGAGTGAGTGAGTGTGTGAGTGTTGTGTAAAATCATGCTTTAGCCTTGGTGTCCACAGGGTCCGCTCATCACAGCCCTGCCCTCATCAGGAAATGTCTGGACAGAAACGTGCAGGTCGCTTTTATCCACACTCTCCGCTCCGTTCAGCTTTAAATTTGGTACGTGAGGCGACAAAAAAAACCCTGCA